ACCATCTACCATGGTGGGATTTGAGCCTGGGTCCTCAGAACATTATCTGGGTTGCTGGATTAACAGGGTCTAGCGATAATACCACTGGACCATTGCCTTCCCTGTTGCTGCTATATGACAAGTCACTGACAGTATTTAAGACAGAGGTAGATAGGTACTTGATTTGTAAGGCGATCAAGGATTACAGCAGAAGTAAGAAGAATGGGGTTGAGAAATATATCAGCCATGATCAAATGGTGGAGTAGACTCGATGAGGTGAATGGCCTAATTCTGTTCCTTTGTCTTATGGTCTTATAGTCAGTCCATCTCTTGGTTGAAGCATTCAGGAACCTGATAAAGTTTAAACATTCCACTGTGTTGATTACCTTGTAAATCCTGAAATGTTAAACTGTGGATACAGTCCTGACACCCAGATCAAACTTTCCATTCAAACTAAAGCCATGTTTGGAAAAACCTCCATCGATCTACGGCTGTCAGCGTTTCATCTTGTTAACAAAAAATCCACAGGACTGCAAGAATTCATCAAATTCTATCCTTTCTTTTCAGACATATCGTCAGAGTCTTTGTTGTCTTTTGTGTGAGTGTTTTTGCAAGAGTTTAAAATAGATATTATTGTTATTGTGGATTATTGTCTGGATGTCAACTTGGTTTCCAGTATTTTTTTGAGTGAGTTTTGCTTTATAGTAAACAAATTATTTTGACTCAATTGAAGAGATCTGGTGAAAATCACTTATTCTAGCAAGCAGCATAAAAGGCAAAAAGTTGACCATTTTGGTGATTGGGTTTGAACACCTGTACTAATGTGTGACTGATGGACCAATGGGACTTGATTACAGGGAATATCTCTGGTGGCAGTGATGCTAGTTGTCAATGCTGGTGGACTGTTAAAACAACATACTGGAGGAGGAGGCTCCCCAGATATTCCCATCATGAATGATGGGGGAGCCCAGCACATCAGTGCAAAAGATAAGGCTGAAATATTCACACCAATCTTTAGCTGGAAGTGGTAATGGACAATGCAGCTCAGCCTCCTCCAGTGGTCACCAGCATCACAGATGCAAGCCTTCCTTCCCCAATTCACTCCATATGATATCAAGAAACAGTTGGAGACACTGGATACTGCAAAGGCTATGGGCCCTGACAACATTCCGGCAATAGTACTGAAGACTTGTGCTCCAGACATTGCCGCTCCCCTAGCCAAGCTGTTCCAGTACAGTTACAACACTGGTATTTACCCGGCAATGTGGAAAATTGCCCAAGTATGTCCTGTACACAAAATACAGGACAAATCCAACCCGGCCAATTACCGCCCCATCAGTCTACTCTCAATCATCAATAAAGTGATGGAAGGTGTCACTAACAGTGCTATCAAATAGTACCTGCTCAGCAATAACCTGCTCAGTGACACCCAGTTTGGGTTCTGCCAGGGCCACTCTGCTCCTGATCTCATTACAGCCTTGGTTCAAACATGGACAAAGGAGCTGAATTCCAGAGGTGAGGTGAGAGTGACAGCCCTGATATCAAGGCTGCATTCAATTGAGTGTGACATCAAGGATCCCAAGAAAAACTGGAATCAATGGGCATCAGGGGGCAAACTCCCCAGTGGTTGGAGTCATACCTGCCACACAGGAAGGTGGTTGGGAATAAATCATCTCAGCTCCAGGACATCTCTACAAGGAGTTCCTCAGGGTAGTGTCCTCAGCCCAACCATCTTCATCAATGACCTTCCCTCCATCATAAGGTCAGAAGTGGGGATGTTTGCCAATGATTGCACAATGTTCAGCACCATTTGTGACTCCTCAGATACTGAAGCAGTCCATTTTCACATGCACCAAGATGTGGATAATATCCAGGCTTGGGCTAACAAGTGGCAAGTGACGTTTGTGCCACATAAATGCCAGGCTCTGACCATCACCAACAAAAAAGAATCTTGGGGGTCTCCGTTGACCAGAAACTCACCTGGACTTGTCATATAAATGCACTGGTTACAAGAGCAGGGCAGAGACTAGGAATCCTGCAGCGAGTAACTCACCTCCTGACTCCCAAAAGCCTGTCCACCATCTGCAAGGCACAAGTCAGGAGTGTGATGGAATACTTCCCACTTGCCTGGATGGGTGCAGCCCCAACAACACTCAAGAAGCTTGACACCATCCAGGACAAAGCAGCCGCTTGATTGGCACCACATCCACAAACATCCCACTCCCTCCACCACCGATGCACAGTAGCAGCAGTGTGTACCATCTACAAGATGCACTGCAGAAATTCACCAAGCGTCCTCAGACAGCACCTTCCAAACCCACGACCACTTCCTTCTAGAAGGACAAGGGCAGCAGATATATGGGAACGCCACCACCCTGCAAATACCCAATCAAGCCACTCTCAATTCTGACTTGAAAATATATCATCATTCCTTCACTGCTGCTGGGTAAACTTTCTGAAACTCCCTCCCTGAGGACATGTGGGTCAACCTACAGCACATGGACTGCAGCAGTTCAAGAAGGGAGCTCACCACCTCTCAAGGGATTAGCAATAAATGCTGGCTCAGCTAGTGATCTCCGCTTCCCAAAAAGGCATAAAAAAGCTCTGTATATAGAAACACCGAGTAACCCTTACTCTGCTGAATAAACACTGACTCTGTACAGTTACACAGTGAGTGACCCTTACCCTGCTGAATAAACACTGACCCTGTACGGTTACAC